GCTTCCTCGCTCCCCTGCACCACTTTGTATTGGACTGCAGTGAGTCCTTGGCTGCCCTATTGCTCTGCTACATGCCCGCTTCCAATTGGCTTCTGTGTGTCTGTGTCTAACTGCTGTCCGACCTCCCTCCCACCCGGCCTTTGCTGAGCCACTAAGCCTTAACTGAGAGGCAGCGCCATGACCAGGCTCTAATCCTCCAGCGGGACTGCACCAGGGCCACCACACATGGCACATACGGTTATCAGCATCCCCAGGCTCCATGCATAGAAAGCGGTGTGTGTGCGTGTGTGTGCGTGCGTGTGTGTGTGTGTGTGTGCATACGGGTGTGTGTGTGTGGGGGTGTGTGTGTGTGTGTAGTCTCCAGGTGGAGATATACTGCTTAAATCACACAAACCACTATTCATCAAGCTGCATTTGCACAGAGGAAAGATCTCATTATTCTACCAGGCTTTTGGCAAGAAATGAGAGCACAGGAATAATGTAGGCCTTGCACTTAAAGTGAGCCTAATTTTATGAATGCGACTCAGTGTCCTTAGTGCAGCACAGCAAAAGACTGCTTTTGTGAACTAGCTTTCACCGCACAATGTATTACAATTCTGTCTTCTCAAGGACTAAAAGTTATCGGATTCTTAAATAGTTTAATCAAATAAAATAGTTGCCTTTAGAGAAACATGCAATATGTATTAACGATGTGGAATATTTTTAATTGGGTTTAGAATTAACCACGATAAAATTTGTATTCAAGTTATGAATAATGAATTGCTGAAGCTTCATTGATCATAATTGCAGCATAGTCAAGACCTAAAAATGAAGTAGTCTAAATTTAGGGAAAGCCTAGATATATACATGCTATGAACATAACTCTTGTGTATGTTTTGTCTATAGTTGCTGGGATACGTCACCTGCAACTCCTCTTAAGAATGAATATGTGGCTGTATATGAGCATAAACCATTTCTCCACTTCAGTTGGGTCTTCGATGTTGTCATTGCCAGTTTATCATCAAATTACAGTTCTGACTAATTTGTTATACATTGCGCGACCCTTCCACCTGCCCCATGCAATTTGCCTCGTAATCATACTAATACACACTCACACACACAGCAGCAGCACTGTGTGAATGTCAGTGTGGTCTGAGGGTGACCAGGAGCATCTGTGTATGGAGACTGGGGCAGAGATGCTGTTGACATTTCATGCTGTGAATAGAAGTGTTGTTTATCTGTACACCTCAGCTCCCTCCCGAATAATAAAACCAGTCTTATATTAATGCCATCTTAGAACTGGCTCATCTCTATCGCTAACTCTCTTGGAAATGTTGATGTTTCACTGAATGCGAAGGTTGTAGTCTAGATATGTGAGGGTATAGCGTTACATTCTTGTAATTTTGGCTATCAGGTAATATGGTGTTGTTGCTTGGTCAGCGGCCCTGTTTTTTCTGTTTATTTGTAGTGGACTGCAAGGTCAAGTAACAGCCTTTGGGTAGATTATACTTTATTCAAATGACCCCCTGCTAAAACAATAATCTTAAAACAGGCCTATTATGCAAAATCGACTTTTCAGAGCTTCTAACCATGTTATAGTTGTTTTTCCCTTCTCATTTACCCTCTTAAAGTTGTATTTATAGTGATGTTTTAGCAGTCTTTAATCACTTATTTTCAAGACGCTATATTGCCTATCAATCCTCGTTTTCACCACCATGAGCATACACCCACTGCTCTGTACTAACTTTGTTCTTTAATTTTTTCTTAATTGATGATTCATGTAGTATTCTGCAACGTTGCATAATTTTTGTACAAATGATAAAAAACTGCTACCTACTAGTTTGATCTGCATCTATCCATAGGGGGGACCAAGTGCTACACAGCTCTTTTATGTCACGATAACATTTGTGGCACCGTGAGTTCCCATTAGGCACCTCAGTTTTCACAGAAGTCAGCGGGCTTGTTTCTTTTATTCTTTTATCATTAAATTAATATTGCATTTTAAAATGTCCAAATTATAACATAATGATCCATCGGTGTCATAGATTGTAACTATATAGCAGGCTCAAGCACAATAAGTATTTTTAATGCAAGTGAAAATATAAGTGGAACAAGTCAAAATGAGGGCTCTCCTCTCCGTAGATCTGTAACCTGGTTTGGTGGCATACGCCTGTGTATTGTCTCAGTAGAAATAGACAGGTAAGATAGGTGAGTTTAATGCCATATTTTGAAAACTTTCAGGCAAAACAGTAACATCATTATGGAAACTTGGAGGTGGCAGTCCTATTAGCAGAAAAGTTATATAGTGTCCCTTTTAAGTTTGAAATGTTTCCAGTGTTAAGAGCTACCCAGTGGCGCTGGTTATACAAAAAATTCTACACCTCTAATAAAATAGAATAAGCAACTTTGGTATACAAACGAACATTTGAAATGCACAAACCTTTCAAATGATTCACTTAATACTTACCAGGTTGGGTTGCACCCTGCTCACTGAAGTTCAGTGCTCTGCTTCTGTAGATTACATTCAGTGGCTGAGTTTAAGTGTGCTGTCACCTCTGTTATTGTTCAGGGAGGAGAATAAAAGCCAGGACTAGCTAAGGTTAGGCCCATTACTGTCACATGCAGGGCTGAATGCTGCTCTCTCAGGCATGCTGCTGCACTGCTCACCAAGGAAACATTTAAAGTACATTTCCCCTATGAGTGTCTTTCTCTTCCTGCATGGAGTGCTGTGGAGTGATGTGCTGACATCGCAGTCATATGTATTCTTCTACATAAAAAATATACCTCCATTTTATGTAGATCTAGTTTATATATCTAGTTTTTCCATAGAGTAGGCTTACTTTAATGCTAGCAGTGTTTTGCTTATTAGATAATCCATACGCAAGATAACTCAGTAATGACTGCCATAATGATCTTTGTTATTATAATATATATTGTGATGTGTAAGCTATTGTGTACGAATGATTTCTAATGTATTTATATTGATTCAAATACTATTATGAACTTATTATGTTAGTTAGATGATCTCAGTGATTAGAGCATGTACCTTGAAAATTAAATACCCAAGTGATGTATTTTTTATTTCTTTGACAAAGCCTTTATTAGGGCAATATGCAAAATAATTAATACCACAGTTTTCTTGGAGCCAGATCACAAAGTTTTAATCACAGTTCTTGTAAATTTAGTATTTTTATATTCAGAGAGTTAACTAAAGTCATCTGTTTCTCCTGAAAGTTCCTGAACTATGTAACTTTTTGGTTGGGGGTTTGTCACCTGACCAGATGATAGATGCCACTGTGAAACATTCCAGACAAAGCAATAACATCTCCATGGAGAAAAACTTCTTAATGGACCCTCCACCAGAAAAAGTTACACAATGCACCTTTAAATCCACCTGACCAATGGGAGTTGTGGGTGGGGAAAAGTGTCTTTGTTTGAGCATTAGAGCTGCATTCAACAGAAAATTAAATATAATCGCAAGAAACAATTAGTTTCATCACCACATTGCCCAGCTTAGCCTTTACATCTGAACAGTGAACTCCTAGTTTCAGCCATGATCTCACCATCTTTTCACGTCTGACTTAATACAGACTGCTCACTTGTCTCTGCCTTGTATTATCCCAACCCTGTGACTGACGTTTTTGTGTCCTCCATTGTTTCTTTATGATAAAGACGATATAATGCGGCACGTGTTAGTGAGCTGGTGTGCGAATGATGGAGAGCTGGGTGTAAGTCGGCGTATAAAATACAAGAGTGTATTTGTAGTACAGCCCTCCCCCGCCGCCCCTCTCAGGTCATGGAATTTGAATGAGGGGCTGTATGTGTGTGTATGTGGCAGCGTGATCAACTATTCTGTCAGAACTCGACTCAAGGACAAGGACAGGCTACACCTCGCCTGCCTCCCGCAAGCACTGGGCTTTGCTCCAATTTGGTTCCGTGTCAGGTCGATTGATGGTAATTTTCCTCTGATGAAATTGTAGTGCTGCCTTGTGTTGGAGAAGTGTGAATGGCTATGTGTATTTTTGTGGTAAATTGTCAATTTAAATATTGTAATAAACACCACAATATGAATTCAACCCATTTTGTATTTTTTAATAAAACTGGTTATTTAGGTAATTGCAATGGTCCTTTTAAATGTTGTCATGAATGGGTTACTCTGAGTTGTATAGAAAGTGTAAGTGTTATGTTGTTTTCCATCAAAAACATACCCGGTGTTGGGTTTTGTTTCATTCATAAATGTTTAACACACATATTTACGTTGAGTTCTTCTGTCAAACAGAAAATACTTTGTTCCACCTTGTGATGTCATGTGGTAATACAGGAAGTGCTACACCGTGTCTATACACATTGACTAAAATCATTTGGATGATTTCAGCCCTGGAGTTGCCAGTCTCTTCAGAATTAAAGGTAAAAGTTAAGTGTTAACTTCTAAACTGCCACTTTATGACATTACAAGGTTGAACTGAGCATTTTGAGTTTTTGAGATGTAGCTAGACTTATAAAAAGTTTGTTTTTGATGAGGTAATAACATCATGACATGGCTTAAAGCTTAAAGTTTAAAGAATCATCTGCATTTTAAAGTTTGAATCTTTTTTTTCATTGCATCAGATCTCGGAAACTTTCCAGGAATTTGGATTTAAGACAATAAAAAAGTAATGGTGACTATTTACTGTATTTTATACAGTGCATTCCATATTCATTTTAAATATATTGTGGGATTCTATCTATGTAAAAGTACACATCATTAGCTTCTTTATGTGGATAAAAGCTGAATAATGTGAGAAGAGAAAGGTGCGTGCAGCAAATAAATGAATAAAAAAGCTATTGTTGAAGCACACTGAATAAACAATTCATGTATTTTGGCAGAGTTCTCCCCATTCTTTGCAAACTACTGCTATAGTAATAAATCACCCCACTATACGATATAATACATGTGGTTGTATTGTCAAAAATACTCACTGGTCCTACCCCACACTGACTATTCAAATATTCATGTGCACTTGTTTGCTTTGCTTTTCCAGGACTGCAGTGTGTGTGAGTGGCGGTTGGGGTGACAGCAGAGCACATGAGGAGCGGACACAGCCTGAGTTCTGCTTCCTGACCCGTTACCCTGAGTCTTTTTCGTGCCCACCTCCCCATCTCCAGACCTGGGCGTCTCGAGCGAAGAAACCAACGGCCACTCCCGCTGCAGGCATGGTAATGAACTGTCCGCGTTGCTAATACACACACAAATACACACTTTCCAGGCTTGCGCGGTTGTAGAGTTCAATCTGATTACAGCTGCTGGACGTGGCAACAGTGTGTAAGTGTCAGTGTCAGGGAGGGAGATAGGGGGATGCCTGATTAGAGTGGGTATGGATGGGAAAGTATGGATTTCTGTTTTCGAGAGAAGAGCCGACAAGGACTATGTAAGCTTTACCTTGTTAGGTGGGCCTGTCACGATAAGGAATTTTGATTTGTGAAACATTGCGTAAAGGTGCATGGTGTAACTTTTCTGGTGGAGGGTCCTTTACCTGCTTGTTTCTCTGGAGATGTCATTTCTCTGCCTGGAATGTTCCACAGTATGACATTAAACATCTCTGCCTTACATTTATTCAATTATAGGTGGTTATAGCTCATTAAAAACAGGCATGTTGACTGTGTTGCCTTTCCACAGACTTGACCTGTAACTTGGTCTAGTTTGGCCTCTATGAAGACAGAAATTTTTAATACCATACTATGAAGCATTCGAGATAAAGTAATAGAAAAGCAGTTGATTGACCCTCCCCTTGAAAAGTTACTATAAGAAATTCTAGACAATAAATTATAATATTGAAACTAATTTAAGCACGAGATAGACATATGGGGCCAATATCTGGACTTTTTTAGCTTATCACTATCAGCCTTAAATCCCCAGCAAGGGCTATTATTTAGTTTAGCCTAAAAAATATACACAAAGTTTTATTTTAACACTTTAACACGAACACATAACTGGACTAAATGTGATACACTGATCTCTTAAAGGTTTGTGGTAAAAAACAGGGCAGTGGATGAATTTGTAGTGAATTTAAATGACATAATTTAAGGAAAATTATCAAAATCGGCCCTACATATCAGCCCAGAAATATCAGCCCAAATATATCGCTTGCTCTGCTTTGGATTTTAAATAATCAGTATTGGCCAATTAAAAAAAAAAAAAAAAAGCATCAATCTCTAATTTAAGACACCAACACAGTAACCGGAAAGGTGGATTATCCCCCAAAACTATTCTAAATGTACAACATTGTTAAAAGGCATGAGCTGCAATAAATAAATAACAGAATGAAACACGTTTGCATATATAATGAGCCATAGAGGCTATTTATTCAAACCTTTACTGCTCAAATCTTGTTGAAGTAAACAAAAACAATCAAAAGTTCCCCACTAGTTCAAAGAAAAAGTACCCAAAGTAAACGTTGACCCTTTAAATTATTATTCCATTAGAAAGTGGATATAGGAATTATCCTGACAGGCCTAGGTCATAATAAGATGTGCAATGTAAATGAAGCTTTGGAGAGACTGCAAGTTGTAATAAATTATAATAAATAAATCTTGTATAAATTTTTATAAATGACATTTTAGCAAACCCTGCTAGAATGTGTGTAATAATGTCAGGGATATGCTTGTGAGAGGCATTGGTATTTGTTGTTCCTTGTTCCTGGTTTGTTGTGAGCAGAGGACAGGGTGAGGTGCTGTACGGGACACTCAGGATTGAAGTTAGCTTAGGCTGGGATTTGATGACATTTTCACAACACAATGACATTTCTGAATTTCAATTGATTCAGGAAATGTGGACCTGACGCTGGACGTGCTTAGCTTGCTATGTGGATGTTTGATGGTCCCTCTGGTCTTTTGTCAAAATCATGATCTTTATAGTTTTACCCTGTATAAAAGTGGTCACGGTTACGGATAGCATATCAAAAATTCATATTGAACCAAACATGGGATTTCTGAGAATGCCACTCGATAAACAACTCTTTCTTAGCTCAAGAGTATTTTGTTGTAAAGTGGACTATACATTTATAATCAGATATTTTTTTTATAGTGTTTTCCACTGGAGGAGAGTAATGAAATATTGTGAATGTAGGTTTGTCTCCCAGCACTGTGAAAGCAGTATGTAGTTTTGAAGGCATCTGTGTATAAATAATTACTTTATATTTTATTTTTTATCTTTTAATACCTTGTGTGAACTGTGCAACTAATACGTAGATATTTTTGAATGGGCCACACATTCTTCTTTGAAATGCTAAAATTCCATCCACCATCAGATAGCATAAACAACACACACGGAGGATTTGATTAGCTGTATACTGGCTGCTTTTATTGTACGATAAACTTAACTAACCTCAGCAGATGTTTTGCTCACCCCCACAAACAGTTTATGATGTTCTACCTAAAAGCACCTTTGAAACTCCATTACTTCACAGTACATTCATTCATACTGGAGTGCTTCTTGCTGTGGCTGGATATCATAATCATCAGATTAGGAAACAGATGCATTTTGGAGAATACCCTCAAGATCAAAGCCCACACTGGACAGAGATGGAGGGAAAAATGTCGGAATTGAGACAGTTGGAGCCTGGATAATGGACTGAAAAATGAGTGGTGTATGGACAGCATAACAGAGAAGTGTATAGCTGAGACGCAGTAGGGAAGGAAGGAGAGGTTAGGAGCCAGGAGAGAGAGACGTGCAATTGATTAATGCTCTTGGCCTGTGACAGAGGGAGCTGTGACCCAAGGGGGTCAGAGTGAAGATGAATTATTAAAAAGTAGAACAAGAGGGGGAAGGTGGAGGGAAGAGCACTCCTTCTGGAGGATAAAAGGAGACTAGGAAGTGGATAGAACAGGAAAAATGGTGAGATTGAAAGATGAAAATTGTGCTACAAAGTGCTGAGCTTGGACATTGGCGGAGAAGACATAAATAACCAGTGGTAATGAGACTCGGTGCGCGCAGTCTGGTGATTAAGTTATGGTGATGCATCAAATCCAGCGTGGGTCACCTTGGCAACATGTCACAGCACATATAGTACAGAAACAGCATGTAAGTCTGCATTTCCAGGTCATGTTTTGGCTATTACATAATATTATTAGAATGCACCCTTAGAAGCATTTAACAATGAAACATGTTTTGTTTTTATTTTGTCTTTATTATATATTTTTATTTCTTACTTATGAGGTGTAAGTAATAGCTGATTTTGATTGTGGTCAGTGGTCTCAGTCGACGTCAGTGTTATCAATCGCCAATTTGAATGGACTATTACTCCCCACACTATATTCAAAACATAATTTTTTTCTTTAACAAGTGGTTATGTGTAATTCTAACTGTAGATACTGCCCTGTACATAGCTATGCATTTGCTCTATTATGTTTAAAATCATTTCCATCGAGTTTTCTACTATGAAACTCCCATGATCTTTTAATTTCTTTGCCAATAGAATAGAAGATTTAGAATGCTTCTAATCAGGTCATATGAGGTTACTGCTGCTCCAGTTGGGGCTTGATGTGCTCACTGACCACTGTGGATAGTCTACATTTCATGTGGCCACAAACATGTGGTCTTGTTTCCATGGAGATCTAGTTGCTTGACCTATAATGTTCTAGAGTGTGGCATTAAGTCTTGCATGTATTCATGTATTTGTTTTTTCCGTGCTCAGAAATACTTTTTTGAACTCTGATTGTGTTTGATTACTGTAAAGACCTTCTTCCATCAAAAAAAAAAAAAATGTACAAAAAATACCAACAGTGCAGTACTGAATAAAAGTGTGTTTTCTGGCTACAAATGTAAACGAATATACCAGCTTTTGGCCAGTTGGTTAATGCTACTGTCCAGTCCCTGTTTGCACTGCAGGGTCCAGTATGTTGTCCTGTATTCTGCTGTGGCTGTTTGTGCACATGCTGCCTGTGTCAAATGTGGATGACACTGAGAGGACAATAAAAGCGGATATCTGAGTGTGATGGGCTGCCCTGCCAAGAAGAGTGCAGCTAAATCACACCATGAATTTTTAAAGCCTCCCCCTTAGCCCTGCCATGTGCACACTTCTCACTTGTGTCACTTGTCCTAGCATTGCAGGCCTAGTTCAAGTGGAATTGTGGGTAAGTGAGTTCTCATGAGGGTTTCATTGCTAAAATCTTTTCATGAACACCTCTTTTAAGGCAGGCATTGTCATTTGAGATGTTTGAAAAGCTCCCACACAATTTAAGAATGTCTTCACCTGTGTTGTCATATTTTTCACAGCAGCTGAAAGTACAATGATTAAAATTTGTTCCTGTTTTTCCTCCTGTGAGCCTCACCTTTGGTCCATATTATTTCTGTTTTTGAGCTCACACCAGTTTTCGGTTTAATCCTCTTGTTTCCCTCATCGCTCAGTCTCTTCACAGTTTTTGCTGTTTGTAAACAACACAAACGCCATGTCCATTTCAGCTATTCACACCTTCATTTTCAGGCAGCAAAAGATGGTGTAGCCAAAAAAGGAAATATGATTTATGTGCTATCTTTTGCTTGATAATATATTATAAAAGTATTTGTCAGTCTATATATTTTTACAGAAGAACACCTGGGTTATCCACTGTATTTCATTTTAAACATTCCAACTACTTTTTGTTTTTTCTGTTGTGCGGGATGAAATATTTTTTTGCTTTGTAATGTAGAAAGCGTACCTGTAATGCTAAAGTAATGTAAGGATCATGTCAATGTTTGTCAGAAGGGTTAGCAGGGTATTTTTTTGTTTATATAGCAAATTATTACCTAAGTAATTTCACCCTCTGTGATTTTGTCATCAGTGACAGAGAGAAAAGAGGAGAAGATCCAGTTTCATAAAGTTTAGCTTAATAAATGTGTAACAGGCATATTGTATATTGAGTATATTTTAAGAATCAGTAGTGATGCACAGTTGGGATTTACATTTTGGTGTCTAAAGCAAGGTTGTTTAGCATTTAGGCTATTGAAAACATTATCAAATGACTTAATTTTTTTCATTTTTATAACACTATCAACACATAAAATACATTCACAACATGATACAATAAAACATAATTATACAATATATGACCAAAAATGTGAATTGAGCAGATTATTGTTAATTATTTAAAAATTTCGTCACTTCTTGTTCTTGTGGACCCCATCTCTTGGCTCATCTGGTACAAATAATACGATAATAATCAATATAGAAGACCTATTG